GGCCAGCACTGTAGGTTGTACTAAATCGCCATCTAATTTTTGCTCCCTCCTTACTTTTACTATTAATTTATCTTTTAGTCATGGCAGACTCATATGTGGTCCTGGGTACGCTTTTGGCCGTCTTGGCCACAGCTGTGTTGTTCCTACGGGATAGCAAGCCCAAACGGGACAAAGTTGCTGAAGAGATGCTGCGTATTGGTCTGCAGATGAAGATGTATAAGGCGGCAGCTGAGCCTGCAGCTTCTACCATCAAGTCTAATGTCGAGGAGAGCCCTAATTTCCCAGGTGGTCGTGTTGCTATTTTGTTCGGTTCGCAGACTGGTACAGCTGAAGGCTTTGCTGACATTTTAAAGAAAGAAGGACGTCAGGCAGGCTTTCAGACTCACGCAATTGATCTGGAGAATTACGACGTGGCCCAGAAGCTTCCAGATGAAAAGCTCGTGATTTTGATTATGGCGACATATGGTGAAGGTGATCCGACAGACAATGCAGTGAATTTTCATTCGTTTTTGAAGAATAAAAACGCGAGTTTAGGTTCGAAAACGCTTGAAGGTGTTCATTTTACGGTCTTCGGATTGGGCAACACACAGTACGAACACTACAATGCAATGGGCCGCTCGACTGACAAGTTAATGGAGAAATATGGAGCAACCAGAGTATTTCACTATGGTGAAGGGGATGATGATTCAAGCTTGGACGAGGATTTTGATGATTGGAAAGAGGGATTGTGGAAGGCTTTACGCGAACAATTTATTGCAGTTAGTGCGAATGAAGATGAAAATGTACACAAGTCAGGACTGTCACCTATTGAATACGAGTACGAACTTGTAAAGATTCGTCGTCCAGAGTCGAATACACAAGGCAACAAAGTCAAGATAAAAGCATCTACGAAACATTTCTACACAGCAAAGGACGCTAAGATCGTGGTGAACCGGGAATTAAGGCAATCTATAGAAACAGGTTCTACGGTCCATCTTGAGCTGGATTTGCGTGGTACAGGTTTGACATACGAAACAGCAGACAATCTAGCAGTGTTGCCTGAGAATGAGACGAGAGTCGTGGAAACTGTAGCTAAGTGCTTGGACTTTGACTTGGACCAGTGGGTTTTGCTAAAGCCAGTAACGGACGATCGCGACTTTGAGTACCCATTTCCGTCTCCATGCACGGTAAAGGATATTCTAATGCGTTATTTGGCAATCAATAGCGCTCCTCGAAAGGGTCCGTTGAAGCAGCTTGCGTTTTTTGCTTCGGATCCGGTTGAACGTTTGGCGCTTACGCGCTTGGCTTCAAAAGACGGCAAGGACGAATATCAAAAGTGGATTCTTGAAGACGAACGCTCCTTTGTTGATGTACTCGAACACTTTTGCTCGGTGAAAGTGTCGGTACGAGATTTACTCCATATTGTACCTTTTCTATTGCCGCGGTACTACACAATCTCGTCGTCTAGTTTAGTGAATCCACAGCGTGTACATGCCACTGTTAGTGTGATAGAGAGCAGAAAGGAGAACAATCGTGTATTTCGTGGCGTGTGTTCTACTTACTTGAGCAGACTACAGCCACTTGACATGCATTCGGATGAAAAGAAAAAAAGGAATAGTCGACCTGGCGAGCAAGGTGCCAAGAAGCCTCGCGAGTGGCCCACAGCTCGTATATTTATGCGCGCGTCAACATTTCGATTGCCGATAAATCCCTTAACTCCCATAGTTCTCATTGGTCCGGGTACTGGCATCGCGCCAATGCGTGCATTTTTACAAGAACGTATGAAACAACAAGAAGATGGTTTACATGTGGGCAAATCAATCTTGTACTTTGGCTGTCGTCGCCGTGATGAGGACTTTTTGTACAAGGATGAATTAGAGATATTTAAGGAGAGAGGGGTTCTAAGTGAGTTACACTTGGCTTTCTCTCGTGAGCAGGAAGAGAAGATTTACGTTCAGCATCTGCTTCTACAAAATGGACAGGCCACATGGGAACTTATTCGAGATCAGGAAGCGCACATATACGTTTGCGGTGCTACAACTATGGGCAACGATGTGAACAAGGTGCTGCACGAAATTATTGTAGGATATGGTGGCCAGAATGCGGACGAGGCAACAGCAACGCTTAAAATGCTTCAAGATGGTCATCGCTATGTTCAGGAACTTTGGGGGTAAAGTGAAATGGGTAAGGATGTTTAGAGCGAGATCTTCGCACAAGCATAACGAATAAAAGTATGCTTTAATTATACGTGTTGAATATCTGTATGCATCCGTGTGTCTGCTGCTGTTCAACATTTATTATATATTCGAGTTGTTTCTTCTACTTGATGTTCCGCTGTATTTTCAGATTGGGTCTGAGATCGCACATCCATCCTTTGCACTATTACATCAGATGGACATTTCTTCTTCAGATAATCGTGAAATGTCAGACGACTTGTCCTTTTCTTCGATTTGTTTCAATCCTCCAGACACTGCGGATGATTTGAGGCGCGAAACGCAACTTTTCGGCATAGGAGCGACTGCTGATTCCGATACATTGGTCATTTCCGCCACCCACGTCAGAACTCGCATGGTCAGTCTCCACTGTCTTTCACTTTTTGGACTTCGAAGCAGTCTTGCCAATGTCGCTTCTAGCTCTGGCACCGGTTTCCAAGTCCGTTTCGTCGTCTCAATCCGTCTTAAAACTTCTCCGAGCAATTCTTCAAGCATAAGAAAGACGAGGTCACAGCGTTTATCATAAACATCAGTCGATGTCGACCACTCGGCGTCTGACAGATTATTGACAGGCGAAGGCAAACATGCGATCAGAACCTCCAGGCTCAAATCTAAACCATCAAAAAGTTTGTTACCATCTTTATCCAATTCCAGCGCGTCAAGCGCAGACATAAATGCCGTCATAAACGATGACACGAACTTGGGACTGCAATCCCGTTCACGCATTTGGAGCAACTCTTCTAATTGATCCCTTGACTCAATTCCAGAATTTTGCCAAAGTATCGTGAGGTCATTCCACACCTGATTATTCTCGTTCGATGGAATTACTAGCGTTGGAAAGAGACTAACTGTGCAAATGACAAGGTGCTGCCGGCTTGACACACCAAGTAAATCGCAAGGTACAAATACTACTGCTTTTTGCATCATGTTCACTGCCCGTGCGCAACTGTCGTGGCTTTCACCTGCGTGCATGCAGCGTACGATTTCAAACAGAACCGAGTTATGCATAGTACCAAGTCTCCATTGTGCTGGACGCGTATACCGAATTACCTCATGCACGACCGCATGACGAAGGAAAGGAGTGCGTTCCCAGAAAATTGACAGCACCTTCAAAGCTCCGTCGTGTAATGACGACGTTGCACTTGACGAGCTGTCACGTCGGCTACGACAGTGTGTCAGTAGGGCAAGTGCCACCCAAAAGACTTGTGGATATAAGACAAGTTTTGAATCTGGCATAGTTTGCATGAGTCTTGCTATTAGCTCGAGGCATTCGCGACCGACGTCAGCACCTGCCGTCAGCGTCTGCCGTAGCAATGTCAAGACAGAAAGCAAAACATCACTTTGAAAGCGAGGAGATAGTTGCGTGTATGCTACGAGAGCAAAGCGTACACATGCTTGATAAGGCGGAGATGGCCGTCGAATTCCTTCTACGCTCTCGAATGGTACTGAAGTTTCTGGTGAAATGGCCAACGCAATCTCTTGAATGCACAATTCACTCCAAATCTGTGTCTCACTGGCTGACAAGCACAAAGTAAGTGAGCGAAAAGCTTGGATAAAGACGGCACAAGGTTCTCTTTTGTCAAGCGGTGAGGTTGCAGCTTGGATGCTATTTAACGCCTCTGATAAAAGACGCCGTGGAGCTTCAAGAAGCGGAAGAATTGAGTGAAGAAGTACGTGACATTGTTGTCGGATTTTGCTGTTTACTTGATCGCCGTCGACTACGTCGCTTTCTTGTACCACAAACAGTGTCGTAAGTGCCACATGCATCAAGTGAATAGCTAAATTTTGCACGTCGGGACTGGAAGGACTGCAATGAAGAAGGTGACAGCTAGTGTCACTAGCCAGTGTCACAAGAGTCGCCAGCTCATGTAAAGCTGCTGCAGTTCCGCTCGAAGTTGTCTCGCTTGCACCCGAGGACATGGGTCGTAAAAAAAGGAAGCGTAATACGTCAGGCGCTGCGTCTTGCCATCGGCAAAGCCACCACATGACAGTCTTCGCTGTTTCGCTCGGTATTTGACACTTGAGCTGCTGTCGCATCAAAAAGATGACAACCTCGCGAGCGTTCGAGTCGTCATCTTCATTCTTAGCAAACGCAAGTGTGAGCCAACTGTGATCGAGCTGTTCCCGGCATGTATCACAATGAATGGCAGTGAGCTGATATAGCAAGTCGAGCAGCCCTAACGGTCTACTCAATGTATCCTTCATGGTCACGAGAGATACTTCGGCGAGCCATGGCAAGACGGCAGCAAGCATTTGCTGCTGCTGAGTAATTTCGAGTCTATTGTGAAGTGGGACGGTAGAAAGTGAGCGCAAAATTGCGAGGCTAACGCGTAGACTTAGTACAGAAAAGTGAGACGCGAGGAGAGCAGATACGGTCACTTGCATGCGCCCTGCAACAAGACTATCAAGACTTGAGCTCTTGTAGCCTTGCAAGCTCCAACGAGTTACTGCAGCCTTATCATCGTGACTATTCTCCGACAATTCGCAGACTAGAGCAGCTACAATATTGAGGGCCATCAAACGATGCTGTTGCACCATTTCATCTTCACGTTGCAAGCCCACATGAAGCAATAGGACATGAACTAAACGTACTGCAAGAGCCAAATTGTCTTTGTCGTGTACGGCAGCACGTTCTTCTTGTAGCTGATGCAGCAAAGTACGGAAGAAGGTGATGACGTTAGTAGAAGCTCCAAGAGCACTAAAATACTGCCGCGCGACGCGAACTTCGGAGGAGTCGGAGCTCGTGAGCGAATATGTCGCTTTCTCCAGACGACGTCGAACCGCGTGATGAAATTTAGCGTTGCCGCAAGGCAACTCCAACAGTGCATTTAAAGCTTGTCGAGCAAAGTGACAAAGATCTTTAAAGTAATCAAATTGGACATCGTCGACACGGAAACAGGCATCAAGCCACGTGTCAATTCTGTCATCATCTAAATTGTCGTCTAAGGCGTGACTTTGAAGATTGAAGCGCAGCAAAACTGCTAACGCAGAGAAAGCTCGGTGACAGATAAAGAACTGAGCGACACGTCTTGAAGTCTCACGCTTAAGAAGTTTAGCCTGATTTTCGACCCACAACCACGGATAAAAGATCCTTCCGTCGCAAGCAGTAGAAACATCACAAAGCTGTATCCAATGCAAGTAGAAATCCTTATCACAAGTTATAAATCCAGAGTTGAAATGTCCAATTAACGAAGCGTGAGCAAGATCCTTCTCAAAATTTCCACACCAACCAAATATTATCGTAGCTATTCGATTATTTGGCATGTGCAGCATGGACTGACGATTGGCATTGACATAAAGCAATAAAGAGTGATAAGTTGCTAAGAAGTCAAGCTGCATCACGAAAAGCTCAGGATGGACATCAGAAATCCACGTTTTCGAGAGTATATTCGCGAATACTTCAGTTGACCCAGTGCTACTAGTGCACACGCTTGTTTTGTTCTCGAACATTGTCAGCATATTTTGGAGATGCGCTGATACCGCACGACAAAGCCGCTCACCTAAGGGACTTCCTGATCTGAGCTCGTCCCAGTTGCTCTCTGTACGTGTCCAGGACTCCATATGAAGCCGAAAACATCGCCCTATTGCACACTGCAGCGTCACCTGAGCTTCTTCTGCATGTTGTAGTTCCAATGTTTCTTTTTTTGAAAGCTTCGTTGCTCTGGTACTTCGAGCACGAGTTAAATTTAGTGAGTCTGTGTAGTTTTCAGGTGACTCTTGTTCGTCCTTGCAAAACGTTGCAAACGCTTCAGTTTCCAAGCGTGCGAGCACATCTAGTAAAGTGGACAACGCTACCGAACCTGCGTGCCCCAGGACGAGAATGGCGGCGTGGCGCTGTCCGACATTAGAACTGCGCAGGTAGCAAGCAAGCTGATGCACAAGAGACGCAATCATCGTTGACGACGCAGCACTGACAGCTCCTGATGAGCTTTCTGACTCAAGTGCCATTTGCTTCTGTATTATCGGACCCGCAGCTATCATAGACAGCAAGGCAAAATTACGCCATCGACTGAGTTCACGTTGATTGCTTAAGGAATCATCTGTCAACATCGTGACAGATAGAACTGGCTCAAGCTTAGTCACTTTATTCGCTACATCAACCCAAATGTACGCAGTCACTTCCGGCGCATGCGTTGCTACACATGTCAAGATACGTGCAAGAGCAAGAGACCACCGAAAACTGTGACGCGTAGACGTGTCCATGATCAAACGTCGAAGAGCGGAAGGTTCATCGACATGGTTTGCGTCATGTGGTTTATAGGTGAAAAACGCAATCTCAAGTTCCGAATCAAGTTTTTTCAGAAGTGTCCACACGCTTAAGCGATCAAATGGCTGCTGATCTGTATTGTCTCTCGTAAATTTCTCACAGTACATCATTTTCGCTTCATGCGCAACCTCGAGTGTCTCCAAAACTGCAAGTCGTAGCATTTGTTCAGCTTGAATATTGTCATCACCCCGCACTAAAAGATACACGGCAGTGGCCTCTACTTGGATCAACGATTCAACTTGAGCCCGTGAGCTCGCCCAACGAGTTGAAAATACTCGACTTGGTGCAAATAGTGCATTTAATAACTGCAAGATAGTAATCGCTCCTGCTGTGTCACTTACTGTTGTTGAGGGGCTAACATTCATTCGCAAAATGTAGTCGGTCAAAGCACGGACAACCGCTTCAGCGCTAGGAGGTAACATTTCTGAGCAATGTAGTGGTTGAGGCCCAACGAGGGCAACAATAGATTCTTGTGCTCGGCGACGCACCACTCGCTCAGCATTGACAGCAGTACGCACAAGCAACGACAATTTTTGTTCTATACTGAGAGAAATGTGCGCATAAAGAATTGGCATTAAGGCCAGCGCAGCAGCAAACGTTGCTGCTGCTACAATCCGATTTGGATTCTTCCAAAGCTCGTCGTCATCCTTGTCTTGAAAATCAACTGTTTGTAATTTGTTCTCATTGATTCTCGCGAACGATAAATCTGTGAGGGTTTTATGACCAAGACGTGTACTGCATTCCAAAAGCACACGACCAACTAACTCTCCGATCATTTGTTTATAAGCAAACAGGTCATTTTGATTCACTTTGAAGCGTAAAAGATTCTCCTCCTCTACTTCTTGAGTTTGCAGCAAATCCGTAAGCGCTTGAAGACCCACAAGCTTTTGAGGATCCCCAACACCTACTGATTCAGCGAGCAATCGGCGTATATGGCTCTGTATTGTATAAGGCATGTTGTACGACGCCATAACCCTTGTCACATGTATCAAAGCTGGTACAGCAATAGTCAGGAAGGCCGTACAATTGCTACCAAAGCTACTTGAAGACTGTGGCCTCAAGCGTGGCAACGAGAAAAAAGCCCAAGCTTGCGTCGTATTTATAATCTCCATGCACTCTGAGTCCGTTGGTATTCCTCCAGCACCTTGTCCAGAATTTCGCACCACATAATGACGATGCATCATATACGTGAAGCTCAAATCCAAACTTGGTAAAATGTTGTACAGCGCCACTCCGTTAGAACTAGCATCTTGGTTTAAATGATATTGAAGTTTTAATAGTGATAGAGCATCATCTCGCCAATATCGCGTAAAAATCTCTCCGGGAGAAAGTGCCAGTACAACAGCTCGAAGTGCCCAAGACGAAGCCTCGAGCTGCTGTTGTGTGCGACCTCGGCTTTTCTTTCTGGCGCATTCTGTGAGTCGAAGAGCAGCAGCATGCAGATCGCTAATACAGCGACTCCAATCACAATTACTGGATGTGTATAAGATACTGAGATCCTGTCGACTAAGGGATGACAGCTCTCGCTGGAGCAAGTGCGCGATCAAATGTGCACAAGCACTGCGAACATGAGATCGATGTGGCTTCAAGAGCAACGGCATCATGACACGAAGCCAACGAACCGCGTCTGGCAATCGTTGAGGCAGCGTTTGAGTTGGTGCATTATGACACGGCACCAAACCAAGGCAAATTTCAGCCAGATACTTGAGATATGGATGCCTGACGACGTCTACTGACACTTTCGTCGCATTCCAAGCCGCAGATCGCGTTAAGATCTCTTTTTGCAAAATAATGCGAGCGATTTCGGGTGCCAAACACGCTGCGAGTCCCAATACCTGTCCCCAACCTATGCTGGCTTCTTTTGTACATGTCAAACAAATCGTAAGGGTATTCGGAGGTTTTGCAGTCTTCAGCTTTGCCTTTCGCATAGTCAAGTATGACAAAAGGTTTCCAGAGCTTCCCGCTCTTACACGAACGTGCATCTCTTCTTCTGCTTGGTATGATCTTTGAAAAGCTACCAAACATCGACTGACAACAAGACCAACTACTTCATCGATCGCACTCCGTTCCACTAAGCTGATATCACCACGTGTGTTTTTCTGAGGCACTTGGAAAACGGCTTTAAGTAGTTTTGCGACCAGCCAAGACGCCACAGGATCAAGTGGAGACTGAGGTTGATCATCTTCAGCTGATCGTGCAGCTGGGACCGCCGATGGTTGTACGGCTGTGGTCGCTGCTGCGTTGGCTGCCTTCAAGCTTTCGACAGAGTGCAGCCACGAAAGTAGAGACTTCGCTACACTCGCTACACTAGCAAGGCCTCGTCGTCGTCGAGTATTCGTGATCGATGAGCTTAAACACTGCAGACGCTTCAAGTCACGCTGGACGGTCGTCGTCTCGGACAAAATAGTTTCGTCATTTTCGAGCAAATTACAACTCTGATCGCTTTTCTTCGAGACTAATAAGTTGGCGACGGTCGCGAGATGTGTGGCGATAAAGGCATCCAAGGCGCGTTGAAGCTCACGCAAAGCCGCGTCACAATTGGAATCTCGAGAATTCATCGGAAATTAGACTCTTACTAATTGGGGAAAATCATGAAACGTCGAGAAGCGTAACGAAGTGCATCAATGAGAGCAGCTTAATCGCCGTAAGGACAGCAACTTGCCGACGGGTGACGTAGAGTATCCTCCCGCGCTAACATCTGAATTAACTTTGCTTATGTTTGACTTCGTGGTGTGTAAACAGTGCACCACTGCGTGCTCGACACGAGGACAAATTCTATCAAAACATTTTAGAATTTATCCAGCGTTCATGGCACGAGACATTTTACGGCAAATCGCACACTGCATATTGGCGAACAAACTTGGTTTTATTTGAATTGGATTTCATTGTTGTCTTATGTAATTAAAGATTCGAAATATCACCCTTGCGAAGTTGGCGCAATTGATGTTCATAAAGTTAAAGAAACAACTCTCTCCGTGATCAAAGTATAGCGAAAAGGATTGTTAAGCGTGTATTTGTATGCTGAAGCGTTAGTAAAATCTGAAGAAAGCAGAACGATATCGCCGTTCAGCATGGTAAATTTATGAATCTGCCGATGTACTGACTGGATAATCATGACGCTAGGGCTCGAATAATAAAACTCGCGTGAGGTGCTAAACACGTTTTCCAAAATATATGCGCGGGTTGATTTTTGTAATCGAGGCTCTCAATTCACTGATTTCTCCGTTCAAGGAAATATTGAGTATAATTCACGGATATCCCTGGAGTGGTCGAGCACAATGGGTTCTAAATTTTTTTAGCCGACTTGAAATAGATGAGCAATAAATGTCTTTTAAATAATGAGTTAAGGAAGTATAATATCAGTAGATACATGAAAACAATTGTATTACAAATCTATCATTCGTTAAACAATGACTGGCCTTGGTCCTCGCGTGCTACAAGTGCTCCAATTTGCTCACGCGCGCGCACCAGAGCTGCAGGCGCTTCACGAGCTCTCACAGCATGATGCAGTATCTTCGGTTACAGATATTAAGTTAGAGACCCAAAAAAATCAGCGGAGACGCAGGGCTAATGCCTTTAAGTCGCATAAAATGCCGCAAAGGTTGCGAGGTACGTCAAGCAACAACTTCAGAGCATTACGATGTCGGAAGCATCAGCGGCGACCGCACAAGATGCTACAAGAACGTTTAAATATTACAGATTCAGAGCGGCCACGGTGGTTGTCGACCCATTTGTGGCACACCAAGCGCATGGTTATGAAAGAGCAATATGGCTACATGCTTGCTTTACATCGATCAGACAAGAGTATATCCGCTGCATTACAGGCAGTGAGACAGACGGCTACATTACATGATTGTAGTTATTACGGGATCATTGAGCTTTTTGGTCTACCTCAAGTCATCTTAGAGGCTTTGCAGTTGATCTCAGACCCCAATGGATCAGACTTTCATGGTCAAAAGTTCTTGGCCGGAGCGGAAGAAGGTATGAGCATGCTGCACCATGTTGGGCAGTTCCCTAAGGGTACAATTGCCCCCGTGACATTTATGTGGAGACCATTGAAAAAAGATTATGAAACTGGGGTATTTCAATTGCACGACGATTGGCAAAATACGAAGAGGCAGCTTTGGCTCTGGGTGCATCCTGCAGCATATATGGAGGCGGCAACGGCCATTGCAGCAGCTTGTCACGAGGTTTTTGAGAGTGAAAAAGACAGAGTTGAAATGCACGATCGACGTGGACAATTATGTCGCTTTAAGTTGCGAGGACGATTGGCCAACGAACTTACAGCAAATCTTCTTGCTGGAGATGTAGAAGCTGATAACACTGAAGCGGACGATTGTGATTCGGATCATGAAGACGGTTACGACGCGAAGGAGACAGTAGCCAATTGCAGCAGTATCAACCGGCGTAGCTTGCTACGTGCTCTTGGTAAGTCTAGCAAAACAATGAAGAGAAAAGAGACAATTGAGCACACGAATAAAGTTTATGCTGTTGCATCAAAAGATCCGCGTCTTGCTCATTTTCGAGATGATAAATTGAAATATGTATCTTCTCGTATGGACCCAAATTTATCGCTCCTTAAAGAACCACCCGCTGGAGCCGTGGCGGAGGCTGGTACGGATGTGATTAAAAGTCCATTGAGTGCATTGAGTCTTTCATCTCTCGCTAAAGATGCAGATGAACCAGAGACACAAGTAATACTCGAAGAGGTGCAGTCCTTACTGGCCTGGACGACCAACGTTTCAGATTCGATTGTTAATTTTGGATCTTTAGTGACTAGTACACAAGAAGATAAGGATGAAGTTGAGACAGTTGACAGCATTCCAGAAGAATCCCCGTGCTCAATGTTGTGGTCATTGTCCAAGAGACATAAACTAAAAAGCATTTTTAGAAAAGATCACACTTTAAATGACGCGATATTCTGTCAGCGGAAAGACGGTAATGGTAGAGATGGTATTTTTGTGAGCTCAGCACCTCTCCATCTTTTGGCAGTCAAGAAGTGCGAGCCGTATCCTCATATGAGTGGTTGGGATTTGATCTGCTTACCCCATTGCGCCCCTAGTGTATTAAAGGCGTTAGTCTTTGGTGGAGCTTTGGTTGTCGGAATTGAAGAAGACTCTGCTCAATCGACGGTTTTACTTCAGCCAAGGTAAAATTGACGACCTGAGCGTTTCTGCGATCCTATGGTATCTAACATTCATGCCTCGGTAGTTTTCCGCACGATTATCCGGACACTCAAGCTGGAAAAGCAATTTGGGATTCTCGTGCGCGAAACCTTGAAACTTTCGAGATGAAAAAGCCCAAAGCAAAGCGTTTTAATTACGAAAAGCACGGTGTCAAGTCACCGTATCAACCACTGTGGGAGCTGCTCTTTGAAGAGGATAAAATTACACAGGTACCATGTGTGCTTCGTGGACGAGATTACATGAAGCCATTCTGCTTCTATCGTGTTACTTCAGAGAATTTGACAGATGTGATATCTTCGGAGCTAACTATTGAGTCCGTATTGCCTGTTCCAATGCCAACCCTTGTTCGCGTTTCAATTTTTATTCCAAGACGAGGCAACATCAATATCAATGCCATGGTACGTTTTCTTTCTTTAAGGCAGCAGTTGCCATGTCTGTTCTAATCCAATTGTGGATTTGTGTTTAAGCTCTTAACACCGTCAGCAGAAGACATGACTCAATTTTGCAACGACAAGATGTGGATGGGCTACGATATTGTGTCGGACACGAAAAATAGCAAAGATTCTACAAAAATTGAGGTGAGAGCGAATTGTTAAGCATTCTTGATGAAGAGTGATGATGGTTCATTCACATTTTTTTTAAGCGTTCTCTGATAGGTTTCGTGACTTCAGCAGTCTATGATCGACCGAAAGGCGCGACTCGGGCCATTGGATTCATCGCATGTGAACCCCTTCAGCGCCTAGTTATCGCGAGCCAGCATTACAAGTTTGGAAGGCAAGGTCACTACGCTCTTGCCATGCTTCAATCTCCGCAAGCCCGAATGATTCGTCCGGTATTTATTCAAGCTGAGCCTTAATGTTCTTGCAAAAGTGACCTCATAAAAAATCATAATCTAAAGAAGGCTTTGGTTGCTACAATCGTTACGCTGATTGTGACACTTCACAGAGGCTTAGAAAGCAGCTGAGCGTAAATTTCCCTTAAGCACGCAATCCACTTCAGATTTATTTAACGTATGGTGGCATATCAACAAATATCACAATCAACGAATATGATACCGCGGGCTTGAGTTATAGCTTACTTGTACATGGTGCAGGTAGCACGTCCAGCCAAGTGATTGCCATGGGCAGCTATACTGGTGTGCTGGACTCGTAATTGATAGTGTACGTGGCATTTGAGTACTCAATTGTCATTAACGCTTGACGTTCCCAATAAATCATTGCCACTTCCAAATAGCTCGTCTTGATCTTTCCATGACAAACCTTCATGGTTCGATGTTTTCGGCTCACAATCTGCATCCAACACTACTTCTACAGTTTCAGAATTAATCTGTGCAGCTTCCTCCTTGCCAACACTTTCATCACCTGACGAATTGCTACATTCTTCGTCACTCGAGCTGCAATAAGTGGACTTGGAGCCATTAAACAAATGCCTGGAAGGAGGAACAAATTCAAACGATACAGGCGCGAGAGCTCTTGCAGATGCAATTGGAGGCAATGGGAGGTCAGATTGGCCCAATAGTACCGGATCAGGCTGCGGAATGTCCCATCCAAGTAATCGGCACAACTCGTGCACAATCTCATCCGAATACCCTAAAAGTTCTACGTCAAACTTGTGTGGACGGCCCACTGGTTCTCTGTTGATTAAGATCATGGGTGTATCCTTCTTAAAGCGACCAACAATGCTCCGTACCGGATTCACTTTGAGTGACGATCCCATAACAAGCACAAGGTCTGCTTCACCTTCGTCAGTCTTCACGGAGTCATGGAAGCGTCGTGGCAATGATTCGCCGAAAAACACGATATCTGGCTTTATAATTCCATCAGGAGAGTTGCAAGACCGACACATTGGCACTCGCTGATTCTGCACGTCCTCGCGAATTGCATCGTTTGGATACATTCGTTTGCAAGCCAAACATGTCGCTGTTGCAAACGAGCCGTGGCAAAGCACAGCGTGCTCATGAGAAATACCTGCTGCGTGTTCTAGCATGTCGATATTCTAATCCAATAAACGTACAGGATTATCAGATTGGTAACGCCAATAGAGCTATATAACATAAATTATGTACTTGACTGTATATCCGAAGAAGCTTGCCCTTCTCTTCCAGCAACTTTAAAAAGTAGTGACTTGGAGATGGCACGAAAGTAAACCCATTGGATTTAGGAAATAGTTCTTTTGCAAACGCAAAAAAAGGTTTTGGGTTGGATCGAAAGAACTCGATGTCTGACCAAAAGCGTAAAATGTAAATAAACGTAACTTCTTTGCGTTTCATCAGCGATGAAACGTACCAAACATGCATTGTGGATTCGGGAGATTGTACTCTCCTAAGCGCTGCAAAAGGATTAAAGTCACATAACTGAATGTCAGCTACCACCAAAAAAACTTCATCACTATAAGCCTAAATTTCGTACGTTGTAGATGCCATTCTCGGATCGAAAATCTGGGATACCACAGGATACTGAAATACCGGCTCCTGCTAGCACCACAATCTTTTCACTCGAGCGCAGCAAAGAAACCACGTCCTGAAGCGTATTGACACTGTCCAGTTTTTCTCGTGGTCGCTACAATCCAAACATAGCATGAGAATAAATTTGCATCTTGCAGCAGAACCGTTTTACGTACTGTTGCTGTCGATTGAATAAGCCGAATGCCCATAGAGAACATCGCTTCCCAAAGTTCGTCATCATCCACTGCAGCTCCATCTGCGACACCAAGACCCAGAGCATCCAGCATTTGTCCAGCAGGCATTCCAGTAGTCTTTTGATCCATCAGCCAATTTAAAAAAGCCTCTTCATTAACGTCACTTTCGTCAGATGAAGAATCTCTGTCCGATTTAAGTGCTGGCCCATGTTTCGGAGCAGTGAATCTGTCAAGTTGATCCTGTCTGATATTTGAGTATTCCGTTGCGTCAACTGCTTGGTCTTGCACTTTTGAAATTGCCAACGTTGGATCCACCGCCTCGGTAGTGGAGTATGGGGATGTCGGACCAGATGCAGGGGCCCGTGGCGGCGTCGCTTGTTCGTTTTCATCGTCGGAAGCTCGCTGTTTCTTGCTGGGCGGTGCGTTAGAATGCATATTCATGCTGACACTACGATTCCGGTTACCCATGCCGCTTGGGCTACCCCTACTGCTGCTAGAGCTACATGGACTCGTCGCTTCATGAGGGGGTGGTCTCATACTTACGACAGGTACGGTACGATTGGCCGGATTTGATTGCTCCATTTCGCAATATGAGCCGCGCAGAAAGTGGACGCGTCGCGAACGTTTCTATTCAATGCTTAAGTGCGCCTTTGGTAGGATAATGGATGCTGCAACGTTTGACACGCCTTTGACGTAAGGAGATGGAAGACCGCCGCCGCTAGTTTCGTTATGATCTGAAGACGCAGCGCGGTTCGTTAAGAGGGTAGGGTACAGAAGGTACAGTCCAAGGGGTATGAAAATAAAAAACTATAACCTACCGAAATATATTGTCTGAATTGATGATAATGACAGCGAGAAATAAATGTATAAAAAGCAGATCTTATGTACTCTTAAAATGCATTAAAATTGTGCTCAGCACAATTCGCAGTCCACAGCGTCAGGTCTGAGATGACACAATTAAGCATCTTCATGTGAAAATTACAACTGCAATGTAAACTGATTATCACACCTTTGTTTTTCTTCCACTATTTGTCTACAGAAAGATTACCATTCCTAAAATACGTGAAATTCATGTGATCCCGAAACTACTGAGTCTCATGTTACTACCGGCTCAAATTTTCTCGATTAGTGTCTCTGATGCCTACATCGCCAGCTCCTCATTTCGGAAAGAAAGGGGTGGCACTCTTTGCTCAGGGATCAACTTCAACGAACAAGAACAACGAGAAGAAGCTCAAGGGTAGTCGCATCGATCAGCAACTTCATGAACTTGAGCACGATGACGGAAATCGCCACTCGAAGGAGCTAACGTTATGTCTGAATAAATACACCAAAACGATCGATGATCTACACGAAAAAAATCGCCGATTGGAGCAGGAGGTGAGTTTCTTGTAAATCTTCCATTGTTGACGCTTAAATTCCAATTAAATATGCTGTCAGCTAGCTTTTGATGATTACGCTGCACGTAACAATCCACACTTTAATGAGCAGGCAGCTGAGAAGCTGTCGAATCTTTATCGGCAGGGCAACAATGTTTTGGCTCGCTTAGAGCTGGAACGCAAAGAATTGGTACGTTTGAACGCATTAATCAAGTCGCAAGAGACGATAGCAGCGCAGCAGAAATCGAAGTTGCACGAGCTGGTTACGTTGGACCGCAACCAAGCCACTATGCTTGGACGCATCCGCAAGATGGAGCACGATATTGATCACCGAGTTGTTAAATTAAATGAAAAGCTTAATCGCAATCGACAATTGCGCAAGATCATTGATGAGCATCGAGCTGAGCGTGCGCGCATGGACGAAGTTTACACAAAGATGTCGACTGAGATGATGACAAAGACGAACAAGATTGCACGAGTGAGAGACGAAGTGGCTAAGCTTCGTCAGGAGATTGAAGTCACTGAACAAGAAATTGAAAGTGTTCGTCTCGAAGGAGAAGAATGGGAAGCGAAATGTGACAGGCGAGCAGCCATTTTGATTCAAGAGCTCAAAGGGGTTGTGCTTCGCAAAAAGGATGCAAAGGATCTTGGAAATGGGAAAACTTTTGAACAATTGGGCGAGAACGAACTTTTGAAACATGTGTCGAAAGCAACACAAAGCGAGGACCAATCTCCTGCAAGGCGCAACAAGTGGAAAAGTGGCCAGGCGAAAGTCACAATGGACGCCATGTTGGCAAAGCTAAACGAAAACCGCATGTTTCTGGAAAAAATGTACGAAGTTTCGGGTACGAAGACACCATCCGAACTAATCGATGCGTTCAACAAGCAATATCCTTTCCAACGAGCTATACGAGTTCAACTTTTCCAATCTTTTTTTCCCTTCCTTAACCATACCTTAATTTTTCTGTGGTTTTTATGAATTTCTTACAGAAGCTGAACAATTTGAGCGTGTTCAATATGTAAATCAACTAGCTGAAGAAATTGAAAATCATCGCCAAGAAAGTACCAAAATGCGTGAGGAAATTGGAAGGTTCGTCTTATTAAGCAACAACATTCTTGAGTCTTACAAATTTGATCATCAAATTTTTAGGCTCAAGCAATTAAAAGATTCGGTTGACTTTGAGCAAATGAAACGCATTGAGGAGCTTCGCTCCAAGATTCAGTACACGAACGAGCAGAAAAAGGTGAAAGACGACGCAAACCTCAGAATGCAGACATTTTTGGATGTCCTCAAGCCAGCCTTATTTCAATTTCACAGTCGTATTGAATGTGCTAGCGCTCATAGTGAGTTAGCGTTTGTGTTGTGCAATGGCGTCAGCGTACACTTAATGCGATATTTCTATGATTTTCTAGATGGAGACATAACACAGGTGCTTAGTGACATCGAAGAGCAACTTGTCAACGTTCTGCAAGCTTATCATGCAAAGGTCGAAAGCAGTAAAAAAGACGGTTTCTTACAACCCCCTGCCAGCACATCGCCAGCTGTACGCAGATTGTCCGTGGCCGTGGGCTCACGAACCCGCCGTAGAACGACGGTGTTAAAGCGAACGGCAGAGAAGTTAGGTGGGGGGCGTTTGAAATCAGTTGCAATGATTTCGTACCCTGGCAGTGAAAGCGCATCTAAAGCGATTGGCTCAACATCCTTGCATGAATTTGTCGAGACTGGCACAAAAGTATCCACTACAGCGTCCGTAAACGCAATGATTTCGAAAGAACAGCCATATCGCTACGCTAATCTGCGGCCACCTCATCTGTCGGTTGAAGAATTGCACAAAAAAGACGACGTGGAAGAGGACTACCCCCTTACATACCGCGAGCTCAAGGCCAAGGTCTGCCAAGGGGAGACATTATAAAACCACTATCCTTGCTTCATTGCCGTAGCCCAAGCTTTTCTATGTAAGTTATACAATAATGATAAAATCAAACTTATTATGTCAGCAACTTTGCGTAATAAATGTATAATTCTGGCAAAAAACTTTGGCGTGGATCAGCTTGGACGCATTCTCGCCGGAAGTGGTGTCACTGCCAGCAGGTATATGAATTTTTGCATAGATGAACCATAAGGAATCAGGATATCGGTGCGTTTTCGGGAGACTAAAAGCTGAATAAATGCTTGTAGACTTATAACACTCTGCTAGATCCAGCGAGCTGGCCAAGGGTGATGACGAATTAACACAAATTTTATCAGCAAGAGTATTATTTTTCAGCACGGAGTCACTTCGCGCAAGTATTTCGGAGGATATCCTACACCACCAATCAATACTCTTTGTATAAATATCATTAGCCATCAATGACTAGCAACCTGATCAAATTTTGCTTCAACGTTGCTGAAAAGCGTGTATCTCGACTCGACAGTATTGCCATCTGCAAGCCATGCCCTTTTACCAAGACATTGCGCATATAGTGAAAGCAATTCGCTGAACCGACAATTCTTTTACGAAACTGCACTTACCAAAGCCAGCCCCAACGAGCACCCATCGCACCAAGTCCACTTGATGTTGCTTCATAAAAGTCTGACTCTCTTGAAAACACGCGACCGTTGCGGCCGGTGTTATGCTGGCTTTGTTTGATGATGCAGTCAAGGTAATTCACGATGAAATAGGTATCAGTAAATTTTCGAGGACCAACTCAGCACCTACGCTCCCACCAACGACAATTCTGCCACGCCATTTTTGCCTACGAGAACGTTCTCGAGAGGTTGACGTACTTTATGCTGCAGCGGGGCTGCCGTGGCTCTTTGCTTAGAGAAAGCTTACTAGGGTAACCGACTAAATTTCTCTACTCGAACCAGTATGAGTGTAGCGAATCGCAATCCGCTACCTCCAAGAGTACCCAGAACCATATCCCAGGGCAAATATACTCTTGTTTAAAATTGAAACTGCCTATATCGAAAACCTTAGGTCCTAATCAAATAGTAGAGCCTTATTAAAACCGATAACTCGTGGCAGTCCCGCCACGGAATTGCTTCTTGTTACGGTGTAGCCGCACCATTGTGTGATTACACCGTCTTGTAAAATCAACCCCTTCGTACGATCACACCATCTTGTGTGACCCACCCTTTCATACCAGGGTACGTGTAACCGAGTTACTTTACTGGTCTCGACGAGGCATAAACCCTTCTTAGATAGGAGAAATCGATACCGTATGGTATCTGCAAGACGCAGGGCGTCGACCCTGACCAGGGTGGGTCTATTGTAGATGATAGTGCGCATATGTTCACCCTCGTCAGCGGTATGACGCGGGAGGAAGACGGCGACGTCACCCTCGAGGATAATCGCGCGGTGGATGCTTTTCTTCAGCTTGACGAGATGTCCTTTAAAGAGTTCTATGGATGAAGATGTCCTGGAGAACACCAAGAGGATGGTGAACGCACGAAGAAATCGTCGATCCTGAAGGACCCCTCGGATCCGCACTATTTTTTGGTGATAGAATGTTAGGACGTCGTCTCCAAAGGCCCGCCGTCGGTCCTACCTCCTGACCGAGGTGTGCGTCATGCGATTAACCTGGCTCCGGGGACTAAATACTGCGTAACTCGTCAATGTCCCTTGCCCAAGGAGCAGTGTAACGTCATTGACGCCTTTTTTCTCGCGAAGCACGACACAGGAATAGTGCGTGAGGGCAAGTCTTCCCGTTTGACACCCACGTGTTGTGTCCGGAAGCCTCGCGGCAAGTGGTGTATCGCTCGCGCTACAATAAGCTACACGTTGCCATCATTCCGGCACAGACGCCATTTCCTAAGGAGAATATTCTTCAGAACAATATTGTTGGCTGTACAAAGTACACTACACTCGACTTGGTCGATGGATATTACCAATTGCTCATGAGATTTTCTGCTAACGGCGGTGAGTACTCTGAGCGACAGGCTCTGGGAGTGGCCGGTTATACCCCACGGGCTGTCAAATGCACCAGCAACATCAAATCGTCTTTTGACGCAGTTGTTCAGGCCCTATCAGATGTATGTATGTACAGAGATACATCGACGACATCTTCGTCCACTGTCGTGCGGAGCACGAGAGAACAGATGAAGAAAACCACATCATTTATTTGAGAGCGGTGCTCGTGTGCATGCGCACGAATAACCTATATGCTAATGCCGATAAGTGCATCTTTGGCGCGAAAAAAATCCCCTTTTTATGGGGCTTCTTTGGGAAGCGTGGCCTTAGAGCTGATCCTGCTAAGGTCAAGGCCATTGCGGCGGACTGTCCGATTCCAAAGAACCAAAACGACTTGCGCAAGTGGCGTGGCTACGCCATCTCTTGGGACGGGGCAGCATTAAAGCGTATCGCCGCCACACAAACCCGTCTTAAATGTGATCTAAACGGTACACTTTAAAAAGAAAGTTCGCGCCATTCTCTAAAAGTGATGGAGTGACGACATCGCTGTGTGCAACGATATAATCTCTATACATCACAAATGGATTAGAGTTTCACATATACACATCTGACAAGAGCATACTGTATTGCAGATATATATCGCAAATTATGCGGAATGGTACGGCCATTATCGAATCTCCTTAAGAAGGATGCGGAATGGTAATGGGACGCCGAGCATCGGGAGGCTTCATACAGGGTCATAGACAGACTCCTTCATGCACCAATACTGGTGTTGCCAGACCCCAATCGTCTTTTTAGTGTCGTCCGTGACGCTTCGGACAAGGTCATTGGCTGTGCACTGCTGCAAGTAGACGCCGAGGGGCGATATCGGGTGATCGCGTTCGACTCTCGCCAGCTTAAGGCTGCGGAGAATAGCTGCCCAGTCCACAACAAGAAATTGCTTGCGATCAAGTATACACTTGTCAAGCTCAGGGAGTATCGCTTAGAGAATAAATGGGTGGGCTCTACATCGCCTTGGCGTCATCGAAACCTCTTTGGCTGAATATGCCGTTTGTGATCTACACAGATCATGCGTCACTACGCACTGCGACTCAGCCGCCTCACTTTTCGCAGAGGATCGTCAATTGGCTCTCCTTCTTCGCAAAATATCACTTTGAGATGAAGTATAAGCCAAGAAACAGAATGCCTTGGCTGATGCGTCGTCATGCAGACAGATTATGAGCTTGCTCATGTCACGACGGTGACGTCGTCAATGGTGGATTTGATCTGCCGCATATGCGGGTGATAGTATGTGTGTTGCGCTGCTACAGGCTGGCGGGAGCAAGAAGTTTAAAAACTCAGACAAGAATTTGTCGGCGCGATTGCGCGCACAATTACACCGATATTCGTTGAATGACGGGTTGCTGTATGATAGTGCCGACTCGAAGGATACGCCACAATTTGTGGTTTCTCACGATGATCATTTGAAATATTGTATCTTCTCTGAGGCTCACGATACCCCACTCAGTGGCCATCTTGGTCGTAAGAAAACATACAGCTGTGTGAGCTGCCAATACTGGTGGTCCAACCTGTACAAATGGACGAGCGCATATGTGTGCATGCGTGAGACGTGTCAAAGGGTGGAATCCTTTGCGAATGCGGCTGCGCCTTTGACCGGTACCGTCCGGTGTTGGAAGTCCATGAGTATGGACTTTATGTTTGGCGTGCCGAAGGACTCGGCGGGCAACACGGGTGCAGTAATCTTTGTCGACCGTTTGAGCAAGATGGCTCATCTCGCGGCGGTGCTGGACACCATCGACGGTGCGGGTATAGCGACGCTGGTTGTGGATCGTGTCTTTTGTCAACATAGGCTCCCGAAGTCAATTGTCTCTAACAGAGACATACGCTTTACTGGGAGGCTTTGGTCGACAATCTTCAGGAGGCTGGGCACCAAATTGACTGTGTCATCAGCCAAACTTCCGCAGACCGATGGTCAAACTGAGCGCATAAATCCCGTCGTTGAAGTTGATTTTTGAAGCGTCGGCGCAGAGACGCCGAAGCGCTGAAGCGCCATGCTGCCACTTGTAGAGTTCGCTCTGAACATTGCAGTGCATGGGTCTACCGGCTTCACGCCGTTTTACGTGAACAGGCTTGTTAATCATCACGTCCCGCTGACGCCGCCATCCTATGGCTCAGGGCTTCTGGGGGGAATAGCCGAACGGCTAGCTGATGTCAGCTCGGTCCAAAACGGATTCGATGACTTCCTGTCTACCGGATTGAGTGTCTTACGACACTTTTGCGATGTGATGGCTGAAAGCCAAGACATGCAGAAAGAATATGCAGACGAAAAAGCCGAAGAAATGTTGAAAAATTTGAGGTCGAAGACCTGGCTTTATTAATTGCTAGAAACCTTCTTACATATGCAGTTTCTGCTGCCTTTTAGACAAAGCTCCGTCCGTGGTTTATCGGGCCTTTTAAGGTCGTAGCTTAGCAAGGCCTTGCGTATACGCCAAATCTTTCGAGAAGGATGCACATCTTCTCGGTCCTTCTTAAGCCGTGCCGGCAGAAGCGTTGGCGCCGGGGCGGCGCCCGTAGGCGATTCAAAAGCTGAACCAGCATCTGATTTCGAGCACAGAGTGCAACAATTTCCGTTTCCAACGGCGCAAGACGCTCCATCCTCGCACGAAGTGCTGCATTCGTCTGCTCGACGGCTAGGA